TAATATTTGCTTTATGTATTTGGGTACACCAATGTTGGGTGCATAAATATTTATAATTGTTACATCTTCTTCTTGGATTGTTCCCTTTATTGGGATTGGATTATATAGTATCCTTCTTTGTCTCTTGTTGCAGTGTTTGTTTTAAAGTCTATTTTGTATGATATAAGTATTGCTTCCCTGGCTTTCTTTTCACTTCAGTTTGCATGATAAATGTTTTTCCATCCCTCACTTTCAATCTGCATGTGTCCTCAGGTCCAAAATGAGTCTCTTGTAGGTGGCATATAAATGGGTCTTGCTTTTTTATCCATCCTTCACCCATATCCATTATTGATAGGTATGGACTTATTGCCATTTTGTTACTTGTTTTATATGGTTGTTTTTGTAGTTCTTCTCTGTCCTTTCTACTCTTGGTCTCCTTGCCAGTGGTTTTATGGCTTTCTTTAGTGATATGCTTAGATTCCTTTTTATTTTTTTGCGTATCTATTGCCAGTTTTTTATTTGTAGTTAACATTAGGTTTATATACAATATCCTATGCATATAGTAATCTATTTTAAGTTGATGGTCAGTTAAGCTTGAACCCATTCTGAAAGCACTAAATTTTACTGCCCACCCTATGTTTTAGATATATGATGTCATATGTTACATCTTTTCATTTTGTGAATCCCTTGACTGATTTCGAGGGATTTTACAGCCTTTGTGCTTTTACCTTCCATACTGCTTTTATAAGTAATTAATATACTACTTCTGTTATGTTTATATATACCTGTAAAATTTTTTTCCTTTCCTACTTTTCTTACCCCTGGTTATGGTCTTTCCTTCTGACTCAAAGAGTCTCCCTTTCTAATATTACTTGCAAGGCTGGTTTAGAGGTGATGAATTCCTTTAACTTTTGTTTGTCTGGGAAACTCTTTATCTCTCCTTCTATTCTGATTGATAGCCTTGCTGGATAGAGTATTCCAGGTTGCAGGTTTTTTCCCCCCCTTTCAGCACTATGAATATATCATGCTACTCCCTTCTGGCCTGCAAAGCTTCTGCTGAAAAATCTGCAGATAGCATTATGGACTTTCTCTTGTATATAACTCTTCTCTCTTGCTGCTTTTAAAATTCTTTCGTTATCACTACTTTTTGCCACTTTAATTACAATGTGTCTTGGTGTGGACCTCTTTGGGTTGATATTGTCAGGGGATCTCTATGCCTACTGAATCTGGATATCTGTTTCCTTCCCCAGATTTGGGGAGTTTTCAGCTATTACTTCTTCAAATATATTTTCTGCCCCTTTTTCTCTCTTCTCCTAGGATCCCTATAATGCAAATGTTATTACACTTAATGGTGTCACTGAATTACCTTAACCTATTCTCATTGTTTTTATTCTTTTTTTCTTTTTCCTGTTCAACTTGATTGCTTTCCATTACTCCGTTTTTCAGCTCACTGATCCTTTATTCTGCTTCCTCTAGTCTATTATTCCCTCTAGTGTATTTTTACTTTCAGTTATTGAGTTCTTCATCCCTGATTGGCCCTTTTTAAATTTTTCTTTATTTTCTATCTCTTTGTTAAGGGTTTCACAGAGATCCTCTACCCTTTTCTCAAGTCCAGTGAGTATCTTTATGACCATTACTTCAAATTCTGTGTCAGGCATATTACTTATCTCTATTTCACTTAGCTCTCTTATGATTTTGTCCTGTTCTTTCATTTAGGACATACTCTTCTGTCTCCTCATTTTGTCTAATTCTCTGTATGCTTCTAAGTTAGAAAAGCCAGCTATGTCTCCTGCTCTTGAAAGTAGTGGCCTTATGAAGAAGAGGTCTTAGAGTACTCTGCAGTGTAATGTTCCCTATTAACCAGAACCTGACACTTCAGGGATGTCTCTGTGTGTTGTGTGCACCTTACTGTTGTGGTTGAGATGTTTTCTTTCAGTCCAGTCATTTGAATGGCTCTCATTGCCTATTGTGTGCAGGATTTTGGTCCCTGTGGTTGTTAAGGTGTTAGTCTGGGGCCACCTGGGCCTGAGTTGGGTCAGGCCAGATGTTTGCCAGAACTGTGGTCACACCAAACTGTAGGGCACTCTCCTTGAGTTGTCCCCTGACTTTCATTGGCGGTCTGGGCTTGCAGTCAGACCAGATGTCTGCTCCCAGACCACTATTGCGGCTGCAGTCAAACTGCTGTATTTGGTTATTTCCCCCTCTCCCCAGGGCAGGAATCACTTTGGAGTAGTGTTCACCCCTGCAGGGGCTGCTTGCACACTGCCACACTTAGGTGATGCGTTGGACAGACTCCGGTTGAATGGGGTAGGTTGGATGGAGTGGATCCACAGAATAGGGGTGCCAGGTGCACAGTGTTAACAAGCTAGGTGGAGAGTGTTTGCACTGGTTCTCGCAGGTGTCTGCATATATAGGCTGGGGGGGGGGGGGGGGTAGGGTGAGAAATGGTGCCTGCCACCTTTTGTTCTTGGAAAAGTCTCCTAAAGATCCCTGCCCCTCCTGGGCATAAACTGAGATTAGTAAATAAATTTTCCCATATACCCCAGGTATTTTTCATATTTCTGCTTCTATGCTGTATCCCAACAGGATTAAGTGTTATGCTGCATCTTTAAGGGCAGGGACTCAGTTTCCTATCACCCTCTGGCTCTTCCAAAGCCAAGCAAGCTGATTTTTAAAGTTCCTAGTGTTAACCCCCACTGACAGTAAAAACTCACAAAGTTAAGCACCCCTGGTTTTCAAAGCCAAATGTTATGGGGATTCTTCTTCCAAGTGCAGGTCCCCCCTACCTGGGGTGCTGGGTGGAGTCTGCTCCTCTCCCTTCTCCATGCTTATGGTGTCCCTCCCTTTTGTGGTTTATCTCACTGGTTTGTTTCCTGACCATGTCTCCACCCTTTCTACCACTTTCAACTAGCTATGGAGACTCTTCTGCTAGTCCTCAGGTGTTTTCTGGGTGATATACACTAATGTGGGTATTATCCAGGTGCATCTGTAGGTCAAGGTGAGCTTAGGGTCCTCCACCATCTTCCCCAGAAACTCACAGAGCCGTTCTTGGCAAAGAACTAGAAAATACTTCAGTGGTGTTTGTGATGTTACAGAGGCCTTGGGAAAATTATAAAGACAGAGACAAACTAAGTGTTTTGGTCCTTTTTCTGAAATAGCTATACTAATGGACATAATCATAACATGTCAAATGTATAGCCCAGGCTTTAAAGAATATATTCTACCCCTAGCCCAGGAAATACTGCACTTTTCCTTAATCACCATTCAGATTCTGTCTTCTGGGTTCTGTGGTTCTAATATGCACATCCTGAAAAGTGAAAAGATAATAGCTTTTCCTGTGATTTTGGGCCATAGGGGAGATGGAGTCATACAGAGTACTGGAGAAGTGTAACCAATGTGAAACCAGGTAGGCAACTGGGCAAGATATGGTGTCAACCCAGTAAGTTCTCCCTTCCTAACACTCCCTGACATTTCCCTCAAACCACGATAAAAAGAGCCAAACTCATCACATATTGACTAAAAATTTAAATGCATTCACACACTAGATATAAAAAATAAGCAGACTAATATTCAGGATCTTCTCATTTTGTATTTGACTAAAAGGGCCCATGGAAAAGAATTTTTCTCCAATCATTTCCATAGAGATTATGTCTAGTTTAATTGTCCCAAATTGAACTAACAATTACAAATATTTACAACATACTAAAAGTATGTATGATTAACAGCTTTTTTTCTATACCCACACACACCACACACTCACACCCATACATACACATGATAATTCTTTAAGTTGCCTAAAGCATCATCTATAATAAAGTTTCCTCCAGAATTTGTAGTTACTTCTGCATTGGATACAATTAATATTTCAAACACTTTTCAAGCTGCTTTACAATATCACATATTATTCTAACAATAAACATATGTCATAGATATTCCCATTTTGTGTATGAGAAAAATAGAAGCTTCAGCAAATTAATTACATTAGTCACTTGATTTAGCTACTTAATGGCATGGCTAGTATTAAAATACAGGCTGCCTTTTCTCAAATTCTGGGCTCTTTATAATACCTCATAATGAGTATTAATTCTAGCATTAACACTAGAGTATTCATTCTTTCAACAACTATTTATTAAGCACATACTAGAAGCAATGCTCTACTAGACTCCTGGGATAGAACACTAACCCAAACAGACAAGCCTCATACCACAGATACTGGTGTCATTCTGAGACTTAGCTAGCTCTTTATTACATTTGAACCTCAGTATTATTAGAGACATATCTTCAATTTTTATTTTGTATTCTGAAGGTCCATTTGCATTAACATTGATTTGTTTCCATTCCAAAGTGAAATGATAATTAACTTCAAAAAATAATTACTATCATTACAAGAAAATGGTAACATTTATTATAAATAATTTCCTATCGGGTGCCTGGGTGGCTCAGTCGTTGAGCGTCTACCTTCGGCTCAGGTCATGATCCCAGGGTCCTGGGATCGAGTCCCACATCGGGCTCCCGACTCAGCAGGAAGTCTGCTTCTCCCTCTCCCACTCCCCCCTGCTTGTGTTCCCTCTCTCGCTGTCTCTCTCTCTGTGTCAAATAAATAAAATCTTAAAAAATAATAATAATTTCCTATAAATAAATACAGTGTTTATGGCATTCAATGCCTCCCCCAACCCAGTAATCACTTTCTTGTTCTTCTTTTCTTAGAAGATAAAGTCTTAATGTTCCTTCTTCCGGAGTACAGAGAATGAGGCTCCAGGTTGCTCCATAAGGGCAATTTATGCTTGAAGAAAAAGTTAGTTCTGATTTCTCTGACCTCTTTTCACCCAATTTGCTTTCATTGGTACAGGTATTGACCAGGAGATAAAATCTTTTATTTCTCTGCTTATCACTTTACATATCTGTGAAACAGTAGTTTTTCTCCCACTGGATTAATGTTAGATGGAACCAGCAGATTTACTTGCAGAGGAAGGAAGATTTATCATCTTTATGGTACTAGCACATTCACTGAATATACAGTCATGCGTGAAATTGCAGTGGGTAAAACTGATGCTACTGTTCTCATGGATAAAGGCTGTATCATAAGCAGTGAGGTGCCTAAAGGCTTTGGAGCTATGTTTAACACTGCAAAGGTTCAAATGTACTTTTGTGTTGTTTTTCAGTGACTCCAACTACATTCTGGGAGCAATACTGTCAGAGTGCTTCTTAACTAATAGAGGTTTATCTTCTGAATTTGAAGGTCACCCTTAGTCCCACCTGCACTATCTTTGGACTTAAGAGGAATTGGCTCAGCCATTGTCATCCATGCAAGGGTGGACATCAATGAGGGGAAATTTCCCTGGGAAAGACCATTAGGGGTCACTGATTGTCTCAACCCTTAGAACCTCAAGAAGCCCATCCAGCAGGTGGTGGTGGAAATGACAGGCTTTGGTGTATACTTTGCCTCTGAGGCCACTGGAATCACTGGTACTATGGTACGTGGTCTTAGGGCTCAGTAAGAGGAAGCTGCCTGTCAATATAGGAGTATACATTAAATTAACTTTATGAAGACATGAAATTACTATAGTTTTTAACTAGTATTTTTGAACACATATTATGTGCCTTGCATGGTGTCAAGATATTTACATACTCTATCCCATTTAGTCTTAACATCATTTTACAAGTTAAATACTAACATCCTCATTTTATTTATTTATTTTTAAGATTTTATTTATTTATTTGACAGAGAAGAGACACAGAGAGAGAGGGAACACAAGCAGGAGGGATGGGAGTGGGAGAAGCAGGCTTCCCGCAGAGCAGGGAGCCCAGTGCGGGGCTCGATCCCAGAACCCTGGGATCATGACCTGAGGTGAAATCAAGAGTCGGACGCTCAACCAAGTGAGCCACCCAGGCATCCCTAATGTGTTCATGTTTACATGTTGAGTGTGAGGTATCTATAGGACATTCAAATAGGAGATGAATAAGTAAGTCTAAAGCTTAGGGACAAGTTTATCCATAGATACAGATTGTGACAGTCATCTCCAAAAAGGTAGTGGTTGCATCTATAAAAAGAAAGGTAAGACAACATAGGAAGAGGATTTATAGTAAGTACAGGGGTGGACTGAAATGAGAACCCCTAAATACTACCTTGCCACCAACAACTTTTCTAACCTTAGCCTGCCAGTGACCACCACCATTTGATGAATTACCACAAAATAGTCTCTATCCCCTGCTCCATAACTTAGCCCTCTACCCTAAAACTGATTATCTCCCATACCTAGGATCACATACAACTTCCTCAATGCAAATGCCATCCTCATGCTGAAAGAGCCACTGGACAACTGCATTCATGATAATATCAAAAATATGACCTCTACCCCCTTGTTGTATAGCATTATATAATTATAGTTAGTATTGTAAAAATAACTTGAATACAGAAACTGATAGCACAAGAAAAGTTGAACTGGTATTTAGAAGCTACATACAGCATATATTTAAGCAATGATTTTTTTTTTTTTTGCCTTGAGTGTAGAACTGAACTAAACCTTCTAATAATCATTAATATAGGAATTTTCCATCTCCTCAGCCTAAGGAGTTTCCCTTTCTACCCCCATATTCTATTTCCCAGGTTTTTAGGTGCAGAGCAGCCATACTCTGGAAGCCTGGTGTACAATTTTCCATCGAGGAGATAGAAGTGGCCCCACCAAAGGCAAAGGAAGTTCGCATAAAGATAAAAAAAAAAATTCATATTTCCAGACAAAAAATCAAAGCTGTTCACTGTACGTTATACATACTTTTCACAATGCTCAATTCAGAAAGAAAATTACATACTCTACTATTTCTTTTTCATTTCCATCAGTCTTTTAATCCAGCCAGACAAAAGATTAGGGAGATATAGCATAGGCTATATGCCCAAAGGATACTTATTTACAACTGTAATACTAATTACTAATTAAAAGAAATTTCTACCGGGGCGCCTGGGTGGCTCAGTCATTAAGCGTCTGCCTTCGGCTCAGGTCATGATCCCAGGGTCCTGGGATCGAGCCCCGCATCGGGCTCCC